CAAAGTTTAGTACAAAATCTGATTTTATCAATAAATTTGACACAGTTTCAGACTAAAACAAGCCTGACATATGGTTGGTTGGTTGGGTTGGGCTTGGGAGGAAGCCGAAGAGCAGCCATCTCCACGCGGTGGGTTCTGGGTGACCAATACAGGTTAGCTGAGAGTTTCAATAATTTTGACCTTGCGCTGTGGTCCGCCGCATTTTCGCTCGTATCTCGGGAACGGTTCGTCCTACGGCCATGATCACATTTCGGTAGCAAATGACGTGATAAATAACTTTTATTTTATAGATTTTGCCATGAGATGCGTATTTTAGGCGCTAGGTAGACAATTTCACGATTTTAGGCGTTGCAATGGAATCAGGAAGTACTAAGGCAACTTTTCCGCACTATTAGAAATCGCGAATCGAAAAAAGTCCAGAATCGACCCACCCTATTGGACGATGCCAACAACTAATGAGTCGACGTTGCGAGTTTTCGAGAGAAAAGTTCTGCGAAAGATTTATTGAACGATGAGCTATACGAGATATATGACATGACGACGCGCCGTTAGTTCTGCTTTCTCCAGACTAGACAAGGAAGCAAAGCAAATGGGTCTGGCAGTGAACGAGGGCAAGACGAAATATATTCTGTCATCAAACAAACAGTCGTCGCACTTGCGGCTTGGCTCTCAAGTCACTGTGGACAGTCATAACTTTGAAGTCATAGATAATTTCGTCTATCTTGGAACCAGCATAAACACCACCAACAATGTCAGCCTAGAAATCGAGCGCAAGATAAATCTTGCCAACAGGTGCTACTTTTGGCAAAGTCCTCTCTCGACGAACAAAAACCAAACTCTATAAGTTAAGATTTATGGTCATTTGCGCGTTGGCCACCTCGAATATCGCGTTTAATGGAACGATGAGGTGTATCAGATATATGACGTCATTGACWTAGTTCAGCGAATTAAAAGACAGCGGCTACGCTGGGTAGATCACGTTGTCCGAATGGACGAAAACACTCCAGCTCTGAAAGTATTCGATGTTGTACCCGCCAGGGAAGGCAGAGGAAGACCTCCACTCCGTTGGAAGGACCAGGTGGAGAAGGAAATAGCTACGCTTGGAATTGGCGCCACGTAGCAAGAAGAAGAAACTGCGGAGCTGTTGTTAACTCGGCTATATCGCGTAAGCGGTGTCTACGCCAATTAAGAAGAAGAAGGAGTATGTAAATTTTATTCGTCCACTCTAAATGCAATATAAACTGAACCAAAAAGGCTTAATTTAACATATTGGATATATCGGGAAAAAGTCAGCAAGTCAATAAACGGCTTAAGCCAAGATTAAGACCAAATTCATTAATATTTACCTATCCTTAATAAGTTTTATTAAGCTTCGTCACAGAGTGATATACTTGATCTCCTTTTTGCACGGGTTTTTTTTTTTGTACACCTTTTTTTACACAGTTTAACTTCTGTTGCACGTGTTTTTGTTTTTTGCATTTTAATTATATAGTTTTTTGGGATAAAAACAAAATTCGATATGTAGAAGTAAAGCAAAGGTCGAGGGAATTTAAAACTCCGCAAGATATATAGTGACGTCGTCAGTTGTCAATGATCCGTGAAATTGCTGTAATATTCTTTTATTTATTTATTTTCTCCATTTTTTTTTAAGCGGCATGAGGGCTCTTTTACACAACCACTCCTCATTAGCCAGATTATCTTGTAAACTCGGGAATACCTCAGTAATAAGGTTATCTTCCGAGCTAACAACATTGCTATATTGACTGTAAAAGGTTATTTGGCCCTTAGCAACCATTAGCATGCAACCTTCGCCGATCTCGAAAAGCGTTTATGCAAAGAGTCCACACTTCTGATTATTGAAGAGCTGAACCCTTATGTTAGTATTCAACTGTTACCACTCTACCTTAGCCCACTACAGTGAAGCGTTGAGGTTAGCGTTTATAACGTCTGTCGCGGTATCTCGCTCCTGACGCAAAGGAGCACTCCACCCATTAAGATTCGATTGCCTCGAATGTCTTGCAAGCTGCGTCAAAAAAAAAAGAAAAATATCGAATTATCCGTTAGTAACGAGGCTCTGTTTGTTTGAATTTAATTACAAAAGCCACAGTGTCATAACCAAGCTCTCTGGAGAAATCAGTGCACAGCTCTTCTCTTTATGGGGTTGGTATATTGAAATCTGACTTTAATTTTCCCACCATCGAAAAAGTTATATACTCTCAAGTTTCAGCGCTTCGTTACAAATTTTGTCATCGTTGTCTACAGCTTTGTACTTTATATATAGCAGTTTTTCAGTATGTTGTGGTCGTGGCAAGTATGAGAGAACATGTGTAAAATGTTTCATACATTTATCTCTATTTTTATCCGGGTTATTTAACATTCGTYTTTTTTATCAGTTTGATATAACTCTATATCTAACACGATTTGTTTTAAATGTTTTTAGTCGAATAGTTGATAACTTAAATAATTATACCATATCATAAGTTCAATATTTACATTATTACTTCTACATACTGCATCTACAATATGCTTTATGAAAAAATAATTTTTCTAGCATTTGATTTATCAAAGGAACAGAAACAGAATTTTGGAGATGATATTACTTGGCAGTTACGTCTCGCTCGAAAGAAACGATGGAGTTTGTTAGAAGAAAAAAGAATATGTCAAGAAATTGAACTGCAAACGTATATAAATAGGTAAAACTTACTCAATATTATAGAATTAATTGTTATATATAATGATTTTAAATGATTTTCAGGCTTATAAAAGAAGATATGGATAGAAATTTAGCTAGATTGAAAATCGACGGAAATATTAATGAACATGAATTAAAAGAAAAACAACAAGAATTTGAGCAACAATGTGTAAGTATTTTAATTTATTTTGAATATGCAAAAATAAATTTATTAATTTTTTTTAAATAATCTTGATTACTTTTAAAAACTTTATTTGTTGCTTTACATGCTCGGTATGTAATGTCCGGCCACGTAGATGTAGAGGAGCTAAGTTAAAATGCAATGCTTGACGCTAAAATTTAGGACCTGGAATTTTAGCGTAGCATTGCGTTTTATAAAACTAGCTTACAACTAGCTTAGCACCTCAAACTTTTAACAGCTTTCATTCACAATGATTATTCTAAGGAGGAAATATTGTAAAACTCTGTTGCAACATACATTCTTAATATTTTTAGTCAATCAGAAGTTCATTTGCAATTAATACCGTAATTGGTTAACTATAATGCCAAATTTAATGAATATAGATATCCGACTGTAAGGTTGAATTATATCCTGAACAGGGTATGTTAAGTTTGTCACGAAGTTTGTGACACCTAAAGGGAAACGCCGCAAACCCTATAAAATGATCAACTTAACGAGCTACATAAGTAGGCTTAACAATGTCCGTCTTTTCGTATATATGCGAGCTAGTCTGTCAGTTCTTAAAATGTCAATTTGAAATTTTACACTTGTCAAAGAAGGTGAAAATTTGTCGATATCGAACCACTATTGCATGTAGCCATATAAACTGAACAATCAGAAAAAAGTAATTTTTTTTAAATATTTTCATCAATCAACCTGAGTCAGCCTTATAGAGTATTTGGCAAAATATCTTCACGACATTTATTTTCCAAGGCAACGCTATAATCTGCGAAGAAATTGCATATAACTGTCATTCAAACTTTAATTTTATTTTATTTCAAAATATTTTTCATTCTCTATTTACAGGATGATCACATTAAGGAGCTTAATAATATTTTTGCAAAAGTTGATGATAGAAGACGAGTGAGTTAAAAAATCTTTTCTCCTATTAAAATCAAAAGTATACATACCTGTGTACACTTGTACAAAGTTTAAAGATTTGTCCATTGAGTCTATTTATAGAATTAGAACATATTTATATCCAATAACTACCACTTCTCTATTATAACAAAAAACTATACAGTTGTATTGTATGGAAATTAAAATTTGCCCTAAAACTGTCAAACCTCAGCGGTTAATATCTTTTAAACGTTTAGGTTTCCGAAAAGTCGTAAAATACCATTTTGTACAGCATTTAAGTAATTGGAAGCAAAATATGAGTTTTACTATCTGAAAAGTCGTAAGACACTATTTTGTAAAGCATTTAAGTAATTGGAAGCAAAATATGAGTTTTACTATCTGATAATAAGAAAACTAAATGAAAAACCGTTAGGCGGAATGCCTAAATTTGCCCAATAATTAATCCCTTTCTCCAATTTTTGGTATGAATATTACTTCTGATTGTGTCTTGACTAGATCGGCACATCACCAGGTAAATTCGTTTTCAGCAAAGCTTACCTCTTGGCTCTTGGTGTGGATACCATTAGTTTTTCTTTTCGATAACTTTGCTTCTTCTTTATTAACGAATTTCTTGTTGCTGCAATGGTTTAAAAGAAATTAAATGTATCATGTTATCATAGTAAGTATATTTTTCTGTGAGGCCCTTAAACGCACACTGGTTTTAAATTAGAAGGGCCGAAATTGCCATTGCTGATGCGGGTGCACCTGGACTGCACCCACTGTTCCTTAAGTAGTGACAAAAAACTTTTGGATTGTAGGCAGGGTTAGTTTTTGGACATCATGCCTGTGTGTATGAGTTGGCACTCTCTAATCCATTGTTTTCTGAAAACCTTATTCTCTTCATTAGATGATTAGCATGTAGGAGACTTCAGACCCTTATCAATATCCGGCTGTCTTGGGAAGTAACTATGGCTTTATCTTGCTTAGGGCCGCTGTCACGAAAATAGTAAAAACATGGAAACAACCGATAGATATTTGTGCACAGATTTAGAAAAAAGAACAGTAAAATGATATGTCACAATACTTTAGGCGCAGCTGGATTTGAAAAACGTTTCTTCTCGGAGTACTCACATAAGCGTAGATACACTTCGCTTCACTTAAATAGGAACATAATTAATTTTTAAGATTCGAGCATATGGTTCCTTCATTTAGACATCGCAAATATTCCCATTTCGCTTCGTTTAAAAGACGAAACTATTTTGAAAAAATGTTGTGAAAATTAAAACTATACCTTTAAAAATTTTGTGTATAATATTATATATGGGGTGTATTAATGACCAACTTGAAAATGTGCTTTTAAATTTGCGTCACTTGAAGAGGTGCAAATCTAATGGAAGCAATTCTAATAAAATTTACAATGAGTTCRGCAATTTAAACTTTCCTTTATAAGAAGAAAAAACGAAAAAAATAAGGGGAAAATATTAACAGATCACAGTAACCCTTTTAATGCTCCAGGTAATGCTCCAGGAGAATCGTAAAGAAATTTAGCTCGTATTTACTTGTGCGTTACTATACGCGCATAATTTATTTGCTTTGAAGAAGCACGGTGTTGTGTTCTTATGTTTAAACAATAAAATAATTAAGTATCTTAACTTACATTTTTTTGAACCGTCTAACAGCACACATAAATATCAAAACAATATTCAAATTTGTTAGCGATTATCTTCTTGCTTTATTTGACCTTAGGAAAGAGGAACTTTTTCTAGCCTGTCGCCATAGCCACGACGGGGTTTGATGCTTTGGGGTGTAGTATGTTATAATAGGACAATTGAGTTACAGATTCAAATGTCGAAAACGACTGCTTCTTCGTACAAACAAATACTCGAGTGTGCATTTTCGCAATTTTTCAATATTTTTGAACCCATTCATTTGGTATGCCAAGAACAATGTAGTAAAATCTTGGATTGCAGTTTAAAATGTGATTTTTTTTTAAGTAACCACCCTATTCCAATCCCCAATTAACATTAATAAATATTGCATGGAGTGAGATATCCTTGGACTATTTAAAAGCCTTTCTGACAGCCTTCCGAACATTTTTTAAATTATCCTAAATAAAGGAGGCAGAACATTACTTTGTAAAAATAAATGAAGTGATTTCGGCTCGTAACATCAGAATGTCAGGTAAACCCCCTTTTGCGGAACGTGTCAGAGAGGGCGAGCACTACTTGATGAGCAGCTGAGCGGGTGATTTCTCCCAAATTTTGGTTCTCCGAAATTTTGTTAATCTACTGTAATCATATATCCATATGTATATACATTTCTCTTGAATAAAACTGTGTCATATATTGCTAACRTTAAGAAATATTTGAGCTAAAAACAAATATAAAAAACAGAATAGGAAAACTAGCAGCAATTAGCAAAGAAAAAAATATATATATATATCTTAGTGACCATTAAATATCTTGGTGATCATTTTATAGCAATGCTTAAAAAATTAGTATATAGGCAATTAAAAGAAGTGGTCACCAAGACCTATTCCTTCACACTTGCTTTATATTATTTTTAATTTTAAATTATTTTCGTCAATTTTAGAAACGCGATGTCCCAGATTATTTGTGTGGTAAAATTAGTTTTGAAATTCTCACCGATCCTGTGATAACTCCATCCGGTATAACATATGAACGGAAAGATATTGAAGAACACCTGCAACGTGTAGGTCACTTTGATCCTGTGACTAGGGTTAAATTAACCCAGGACCAACTAATACCGAATTTTTCGATGAAAGAAGTAGTAGATTCATTTATTGCTGAAAACGAATGGGCTTTAGACTTTTAAATATTATTAAATCTATGTAAATAAATGTATTACAGAAAATTGATATATTTGTAAGGTTAAGTAAAATATATATATAATAAATATATTAAGATACCCAAACATAGTTTCATTAACCAGAAGAAAATTTGCAATATGAGAATACTTAGCCAACATATTTGTGTATATGTATTATTGGTTTGTCAAAACCTATCTTCTAGAGGTATTGTTAGTTTATCGTTTTTTCCATTCGCAACACAATTTTTGCAGGAAAAGGTAGTTGGCATTTACAAAAGTTTAATTTTTACAGAAAAAAAGTAAATGACAATAATACTTATTTTGACAGATGAAAATGTAAAACCAAAATTAATTATAAGTATTGAGTTAAAGTTAAATTTTGTTTTCAGTTTTTTGTATTTTAGATCCGGAAGGTACAAAGGTTAGAATAGCTTAATCCAGTAGGTCAATAAGCCACGCATAGACCAGTTTGGTCACTTGCTAAGTACATTTTTTTTATGATAAGCATTTTGAAAACTTTAACAATGTTTGATATCACTACAACTAGTTTCAAAAACTAACGAGCAGTTTGATTTAAATATCTTAAAAACAAATTACAGAGAAATTAATAGTAATATTCATACATATATGGTATATAATTAATTCCTTTATATTTTAGCTTCCAGCTGAACTATGTGTTTGTTTTTTACATAATCGACTAGAGCGGCATGTGTCTAAAAGAAGATTTCTTGCCTCCTCGTTCATTAAGACTTTTCTAGTGGGCATCTGCCTGAATCCTTATTTCTTCGGCGACTGTATTCATCCTTAAGTCTCGATGAATATCAGCATTTCTGCAGTACCAAGGAGCATTTGCAGTGCATCAAAGCAACTTGTTTTGAAAACGTTGTATAATATTAATACTGTCATCAGCAAAAGTGGCAATCATGTTTGGTGCTAACGGTAAGTCGCTTGTATACATAATATATATAAAAGTAGACCTAAGATACTTCCTTAAGGAACTCGTGCTTAAAATTTTTTCAGTTTGTAGAATTTATTTCCTTGTTTTACACGGAAAAATCTCACGGTGATATACGATTCTAAAAGAGCACAATACTCAATCGAAAGACATGCTTTTAGTTTTTGCATAAGTCCTTCGGGTCATACCTTGTCAAACGCTTGTGCAGCGTCAAGGAATACATCTGAGCATACGTTTGCCTCCTCCAGGGATTTTTCTACTTCTGATGTTATTCTGTGAATATGTTCTGTTGTTTAATGCTTTTTTCTAAAACCCAACTAATGCGATGGGATTAACTGCTGTTCGTCGATTACAGATTTTAATCTTAGATGCTAAGTCCATGAGGAGTAGTCATCGTTTACGATGCCTGAGATTGACACGAGTTTTAACAAACTTTGCGGCCTCACTATCGATACCTCCGCCAGTGTATCATACTATGGAGACCCCTGATGCTTACAGCGTAGTCTTGCCAATACAGGACAAGTGCACAAGAGATGCTCCATTGTTTCCCTGATGCTAGGTATTTTCTTATTTCCTGTGTGTGTCGCCACCAGAGATTGTACAGTTAGTATTCCCATCATATTCTTTCTATCGAGTGTCAATAGGGATTTTGTGTATTTCTAATTTACCCTTTTCCACATGAGGTAGCTCGATCCATGTTAGCCGTACACCATTCTTGGCAATCTCGTCTACCATTTCATTGCCAACGATGACTTTGTATATTGGCACCCAGTAAAAGTGAAGTTGTTTACTTCTGACAACACTTTCCACTGATGCCCTGCTTTCCAAGGCACTTATGGCTGATACGCAATAGCAAAGACTTAGCTTGAAATATACTGCAGGGGCCCGGCAACTAAAAATGTTGCCTTATGCCTAACTCTGGACAGTATATTCCCGCACCAACTCCATCGTCCTGTTTTAAGGTATCAGTATAGATGTTTAGAGTGTTGCGCGTAGCTAACATAACTTTACGCCAGCCTTCTCCACAGTCGTGTGGCATATAGCAGGATGCAAGGAGTAGAGACTCACCCTTGTCATCACCATCTGTGAAAGACTTAAAACAATATGGGAAAACATTTGCTACTTTTGCCTTGTTAATTGCACTGGGGGTGCGTGTTGTGTAGTTTTCAGGCGAGAGAGTTCAGTTACAACGCCCCACACCATCTTTCCGAACCTTGCGTACAGAATTCCCTCTGGAAGATGTAGCTTTGGCCTTCATCTTCATTGAAAGATTTCTTCACACATAACACCTTCTAGTTGCTAGTTGGCGCGGGCGGATTCTGCCGTTTCAGCAGCAGCAGAACATGATCCGGGTCCACCACGCGACGAGTGTTTAGCTTCGCTTTGGGCACCGATGGAATAATGCTGCGGTCAACTTTCTCCAGTTTCGCTTCTTCCCATAAGTTTGGAAGCGTTTTGAGCGCTTTCCTAACCCATGTTAGCGTCGTGTCGTCGTTACATTTTTAAAAATTGACACTGCTAAGCGACCCTGCTCGATCAAATGCCGACATGGGTTCGCTCGGTTCGGCGTCCGTTCTCGAGAAGAGGACTTCCAATAGCTTCATGTCCACTATTTTCCACCGCTCCAGTGACATTTGCCTCAGCGGGTTACTGCGGTAAAATGTTGTTTTGCAATATCATTGGCACCGTCCCTGACTTGGACGTTGTTGGTTTATCCGTGTGTTTGACGGCTAGCTTCCAGCAACGACTTTGAACTTCTTCGATCGAACGCAAACTCTTTCCAGCGATATGCTCCTCAATGTGATTAATACACGCTGGATTAGAGGCATTACATTAGTGTCGAGTGTTGAAAAACGATGTTTCACCCCACTTCCTTCAGACTCTACTTGATCCTCGCTTTGCTTTTTCCGGGAGCCTCTTTTTGACAGAGTTGGAACTCTGGGTCACCTGTACAGGAGAACGAAAAAGCTCTACTTCCGCATTAACGCTTACAGCGATTTCTTTTGGGAAAAAACTTACATTAACCTTCGCTGAAGTCGTCTGCCTGCAATGTATTGACTCTGCTCGGAGCCAGCTTGAGATCATGACATTATAAGCAGTCGATAATCGCGCCCAATTCTTTATGGATGTAGTAATTTTCRAATCGGATAACGAGGTAGAGCCGGGTGGTGACGATGTCGAACGTTTTAATTCAATGTATAACAGCGTTCGCGATGGGTGTCGAAAATCGAGTGTTTTCTAATCTTTTTCTTAGTTTGCGATGTCGTCGTGTGGTAACCGCTCACTGACTTTTTGTATCTACAAAAAGGAAATTCCTCTAGATTTGTGTTATGAACATATTTCGCAAAAATTAAATTAGGAAAATAAAATTCACCCCCACAAAATTTTGAATAATGCTAACTGAAACTAAAACTAAATAAAGGAGTGACATCTACCTAAAATTGTTCCAAAGTATAGGGGTCATGCTCTGTTCAACGCACATACCGAACTCTACAATATAGTACATCACACCTCATTCGACAAAACACCGACACCCCGCGGCAACTCGATCGGCAGCTCCACGCTTCACATCGGAACACTTCGATCTTCAATACTCGGTGACTATCTGTTTTAATTTCCATTGAGATGTTAGCATTTCACTATTAAGCATAAATTTATTTTGTTGAAATTGTAAGCTGATATGGAATCATGATAATTGTTAGCATGTTTAATTTTAAACATTAAACCCACGCAGTTTTTGCAAATAAAGTCGTGCACAACCACAGCAGAGGTATGGAAAAAGTTGCGGGTCATTCATTTACAGGTAGTTTCAGTTAAGAAAGTACAGAACTTTCAACAGATGTTATACTTAAATATGAAGCAAGGGAAAAATGTTGCACGCTGTGTGAATGCAATTACGCAAAAGCAACACCATAGGAGTAGAACAGACAACGGGCAAAACGATGCAGAGAGAGCCGAACAAGCAGCGTTTAAGGGAAAATGCTTTTACTGCCACAAAGCTGGGCATCGCGCAAATGAACGCAGAATTAAGGAAAAATTATGTTACATTGACAGTGGTGCTGCGCCACATTTGTGTTTAGACAAAACTATGTTAGTCAGTGTGGTAGTGGGAGTGTCAAAAAGAGAAAACAGTTTTGTGTGTCCCATGTCTGAAGAGAAATTTTCTGTCAGTTAGTAAGGCAGAGAGTAAGTGAGCAAAACAAAGTTTACAAATAGTGGATAATAAACCACCCAAAAAAATTGCTCTGGTCAGAAAGATTGAATAATTTGTATTAGTATGTTTCAACAAAAATGAAAATAGGCGACTAATTTATTGAATGATTGTTCACTAGCAGTAAGTGTATATTCATAATGGCTGTTGCGTCAAGCGACAAATATATACGTATATTTAAACCTAAAATTAAAATTAAGAAAATTGAATTATAAAAATTATAAAATATTGAATTATTAAAAAATTAAATTAAGTCTATTGTAAAATACCTCCCTTAATCATGAATTCATAATACCAATATATTACTTACCTTAATACTTATCATAATCTCTTACAATATCTAACGAAAGTTGAGAATGATTATACTTACCCCTTTTTTAATACATATTTATATTACCACTAGTTTAAGCCGTTAGTTTTAAGATTTAAGCTTAGCAATTAGATTAAGAAATAAAGGACGCTCTCTTGTATTTTGAACGTGAATTCGAACGGACGTGGTTTTAATTTGTCGGAATATTATATTTTCGCTTCCGTGACAGGCAATTAGGCTTTTAATTACTCGCGCATTCCCAAGTACATATTTTTTCGCATCTCAAAAACGCTTGAGATTTTTCAATGGCCCTTTCGTTTTCGAAGAAAAAAAAAATTAATTTGTTTATTTCATAAAACATAAAAATAAGTATATAAGAAATTGAAAGCATTTAAAGTGAAACGCAGTCTCCGACTGTCACTCGACGCATACGGTTGTGCTATCAGTAATTTCGTTGTGTTAATCAATTTCGCTTGTGCAAATTACATTTTCGCATTCCTTTTCGCACCTAATTTTTTCAATAAGCCTGCTCTTATTTTCTAACTCCTATTAATTAAAT